TAATACTTAACCATTTCTATGATATAACACATGCATTCACAAAAATTATAATCAAGCAAATGTATTATAAAACTTCCCCTAAAATAATGCGTCAAGTATTTGAAAATTTTCAAAAAAAAAAAAAGAAAGAAAAGAAAAATCAAAACATGATATCACTTAATCAAAAACTCTACTCATGCAAAAATTATCAAATTTCACCAAATTTTCCCTCTCTTGTTATTAGCAAAAGTGAAAACAACACTAATGGATATACTTAAAACTAGAGAATATCAGAAACAATTCATCCAAAAGGTGTATGGGAGAGAAAAATCACACTAGTTCACACGAAAAATTTATACAAAAATAGCACAATGGATCACAAGATTTGTGAACATGAGAGAAATTATGTCAAAATGCACGCACGAAAAAAATTAAATACTAGTGTAAAGCGCATGGAACTGATAGTGAAGAAACTTATACTATATGATAAGACAAATTCATGTATATCAAAATGATAAAAGAGCAAAAATAAGACTCGAACTATCTCATCATTATCAATTACGGACCGAAGTGTTGCTTTATCATCTCAGCCGTATATGCCTTAAGAGGAAGAACGATATTGTTTGACGGGCAATTCACACAATCTCTAAATATAAATTATATTCAGTACAGGATGGCTACTTATTGAGATATGCACAAACACGAATTTACGAGTGTGGATCTTTGACCATCTTTTATTAAATGCACTCAATTTTACGTGGATTTTATAAGAGTGTGGATTTTAGATTATCTATTAACAAATGTACTCATATTATTTGTTTATATTTTTTTTTACATAAATGCATTTTTGTATATATAAAGATAAGTTTGTGCATTGGCCAAGATAGAAATATTCAAAATCATAAAAATATTCAAAATCATAAAATATAACTTGAAATATCTAAGAGCAAAATATATATAAGTCTCCACCACCACTATTCCAGAACACATAACATGATAAGTATGAAATACATGCGTGCACAATAATACGTGAATTGTGAAATGTCTGATATAAACAACATATGTCATGTAACCATCATTTGATCATTGTGTATAGAAATACATATATGTAGATTGAAAAATATATGTGAACCAGTGTATCAATTCAAGCGTATATTCCAATGAACATAAATTATCTAAATCAATCTTTTAAAAGTATATACATAGACATGTGCAGTTGTTTTTTTGTAATAAAAAAGAAAAAGAAAATTTTATTTTAGTTTCATACTTTTTTAAAAAATGAAAGAAAAAGAAATCTAAAAAGTCAAAAGAAAGAAAAAGAAAATTTTATTTTGTGTTCATTTTTTTATTGAAATGAAAAAAAAAAGAAAATAAAAAATTAAAAACAAACTAGAGAGAAAACTAAAAAAGCCAGAAGATATATACATACAATAAAAAGGGTTATAAAATATAAATTTACTTACCTCTTTGAGAAGATTTGCTAAAATGACCATTTATGCAAGTTGTGCCTTTGAAATAAATATTTGCTTGACTAATGATACCTTGTTTGCATGTATCGGCAACTTCTCATCCCATTCTTCAACCTGCTTGGGCTGAGAAATAGATTTCTGTCTTCTGAATATTGAAAAACCCTAATGTCACTAGGAAATGGTGGGGGGGGGGGGTGTGAATAAGGTTTATGCTAATCTAATCCGACTTAAGCCAAATTAAAACTAATTAATAAATATATCCTAGCAAACGAGATATGAACAATATATGTGCAAGGATATACAAGTTAACACAAGGGTGAAATAAATATAAAACAAGATAGTGGACAATATGAACAAAGAGCAATTGACAATGGTGATATAAATGATAAGCACGAATATAAAAGAACGTCAATGACAAACGCAAACGCACGATATGATCACGGAGTTCGGTTAACCACTTGACCTACGTCTCCGCTCCTCACCTCGAGGAGATCTCCACTATCACAACCGGGTTTTCTATGCTCACCCGAATAACGTTTACACTTCACACTCGGTTTTCTAGTTTACCGAAAACTTTATAATCTCACACTCTTGCAATCCCACTTTACACCCTCTAAGTATTGGTCTCTAGCTCGTGTCTCTCTCAAGTGTTAGGAATTACAACGTACCTCTAGGTATTACCACCTACCCCACTCCTCTTAGGACGATCATGTCTCTCACCACACACTCTTCTCGGTGTACACGTGTATTACAAAATGATCTCACAATTAAGCACAAATACAACAATGGTTGTTCTCTACTATGGATGAGAACATAATGAAAGCTCACACTCTAAGTCACAAACCCACAACCTTAAATTATACTATGAATGTAAATACAATAAGCTCAGTAGGTTGTGTGTGAATAAAGAGATAAATCAAAACAAGTCTATACTCAATTTAAAATCTAGCTTTATGAAATTAAGATCAAAGCGATAAATAGCTAGAAATAGAGTTTAGAAAAACTTCTCTATAGATAACAAGAGGGACAGAGAGAAGAGTTGAAGCTCAAACAGCAAGGATGATCTCCTCTAGCTCTTGTGAAATTCTCTTCACAAACCGAAACTTAAAAATGCTTAAAAGCTTCTTAAACAAACTTAAACAAACTTTCAAACCCTTGTTAAGCTTTCTTAAAATATTCTCTTAAGTGATTTTTTGTCTGAGGTATGATGGGTATTTATAGAGACCCCAAGACATAAGAAAATCAAAGCAAAAAGACCAAAAATCCAAAATAGTATAAGGTTAAAAAAACTAGCCGTTATAATATCAGTCGACTGACAAGTTTTATCAGTTGACCGATGAGCTGACCGTTATAGGTATTTTCCAGCTCATCAGTCGACTTACGACCTTATCAGTCGACTGATGACCTCATCAGTTGTCTGGTCAGTCGACCAACATAAAAATAGAAACTATTGATGATTCCAGGCTTTTTTTCAGTCGACTGAACACATATATCAGTCGACCGATAACACTTTATCAGTTTGTTTTGAATAGTAAAACTAATTTTTGAAGTGCCTTTAAAAATAGCAAATAAATTTCAAAAAATATAAAATTTTGGAAAATGGTTGTAAACATGTAAATGAACATGTTACAAAAAAAAATAATTTAGAATTGCACTCCACATTTGTGAAAACTTGTCATTTTTCAAAACTAGTCCATAACATGAACAACACTTGTTTTTGATATTTTAGCTAAACTATGTTTTAAAATTTTACAAAATAATTTTATAGACTTAATAAAATATGTATAAAGTGATATTAAAGTCTATAAACTAATAAAATAATATTTTCATAAAAACACTTATATTTTGATAAAATCAACAAATACATGTGTGATTAATATGAGCTTAAAGTATTAACACACAAGTATAAACCTATACTACAAATACTATAAACTACATACCCAAGCTTGAAGGTCTTCAATGAGTTTGACTTGGTACACTTGCGGATAAAGCTTGAACTTGGATCTTCAATTTAAATTGTAAGGCTTCATACCATAATTCTGCCAACCTCCATTAGATATGATCGTGAAAGCTCGATTCCATCCATCCTTCAACTGATTGTTTGTCTAGAATAAATACAAAAATACAAACACTAGACAAATAATATTAGTTGTAAATTATTTATTAAAACATCATCAAAACAAAAAGGCCAACAAATATACCTTGAGCAACCAAAACAGATATTGCATTGCTTCTTAGCCTTCCACACCTATAGGAAAACAGAAAGGTGTGACCTAGGTATTCACATAGGTCCATGTTGATTAGTAATTATGCCTTTAGATATCTAAATTCGTTTAACTTTTTTAACTCTATATTGCACACAAGAATTCATTGAAATATGACACATTCTACCACATAAAGTACAAGATAGAAGATGCATTAGAAATGAGTGTAAAAAGAGTTAAGTTATTTACTTTGAAAAAATAAGGTTAAGACTTTTTATGTTTTTCTGAATATGAATAACTAAATCCAGTTTTAACTTTTGCAAATCATTTATTGGAAAGGTCCATGTATAAGCCTTTCGAACCCAATGAAATTTTTTCACAGCCTTGTCCAAATTAATATTTTTAGACTTTAGTTGTTTATTTTCAGAAACTATACTAATGCACCAAATTCAAACTTTCATTGTTTAAAAATACAGTTCAATGGACCATTTACCTTTAGCGACTATCACTTTGTTTTCACTTGATTTTTTCAGTTAGTTGCTTGAATAAATTAGAATTTATGTCTCTATATATAGAGCATTGTATGCATTCAAAAGAGAAATTTTCACTTGCATTATTGGATATATTCAATGCTAAAGAATTTTTTAAAATTTATCACTCAATAATTTATTATTTTTATTTAAAATTGAATTTACCTTTTTAACAACTTTATATTTTCAGTAAGTTTTTCAACTTGACCTAACATTTTATTATATTTAGAATATAAATGACCGTACATCGGATATACGTTAGTATCAGAGCTGTCATGTTCAGATTTATCTGAATTGCTATCTTTAGTCATGAGACAACATTGTGCTCTTTTGTCATTATCGCTCGAACTACTCTGTGACTCGTCTTATGCAGTCACTTTGAAACTTTTACCCTTCCCTTTATATACTTTTTTGTTCAGCGGGTAATTCCTTATAAATATAATTCTATCGATGATATGAATATCTCTAGGCTTAAAATCATCAAAGACACACTTTGACCATCGATGGTCTTTGTAGAAGTGCTGCAAATCAGCTTTTGAGTTGATTTTCGAGTCGTTTCGCCTCTTACACTTCTCATACATGTATTTATCTGCATTATAAAATCTCAAATAAATATTAGTACCAAATGAGAGTTTGTTATCACTCAAACAAGAGATATTGTATGGACTAAGTCCTAACAATTACAAGTCTAATTTTGAGTTAAGGATTTCAGAGACTAACTAGCAATTTCAGGGGCGTGAGGGACTGATTGCAAAATATCAAAGATGCAGGAGAACAATATCGTAAAAACTTTTTCAATGCACGCGCATCGCATGTGCGGAAAAGACCAGATGCGCCGCGATTCGGCCCATTCGCGACCCCTGACTTGAGCTAGAGAACACGGGCACAGTGATTAATTCCATCGATGTCCTCCTCGACGGGAAATCCCTTCGCCGGCGTCGGAGGAGGCGGCGGAGTCCATCAATGGTGTTCGACGACGTCGGTGTCGTCGTCGAGTAAGAGGATACAGAAGGAGATGGCGGAGCTGAACGCGGAGCCGCCTTCCGATTGCTTTGCGGGCCCCAAAGGCGACAACCTCTACAATTGGGTCTCCACCATCATCGGACCTCAAGGTATCAGAAGCCTCGATCTTGCCGTCATTTCCTAAGCCCAGCTATAAATTTCATTTCTTTGGATAAGAGTGATTGAAATGGTTCTAGGGTTCGAATATTATGCAAAAATTGTACCCTGATACTTGAGAATATGAGATTTTCTAAATAGAATAAGGTTAGAATTGTTTGCATTTGAAGTGCGTGGTTGAGTGATTAATTATAAAAGAGAAAATGTAGGTAAATGGGTGTTTGTGTCCATTGATATTAAAGAACTGTAATAGTTAGTGGATTAAATCACATACATAAAGCATCTTATGTTCTAGTTAATCTTTCCATCATTCCTGCAATAAGAAAGTAACATAGTAGGCTAGAGAATCTGGATTTTCCGGTGAATGATTATCTTAGAAAAACTTGAATGTTGTTAATATTCCATGATAATCTCCTTTCTAGTCTAGAAGTTATTATATAATACTTTGGTTGATTATAGAATGTTGACAATTACAGATGAACGGATGGGTGTTCTTTATGACCATTCTTCATCTGTTATTGCAACTAGATACAGATTCATGAATTTAGATGTTTGCTTCCCTCTATGTAAGAACGGTAATAAACCTTGTGCTTATAAAATTATACGAGTAATGTACCTAACCTGTACTTTTGCAATCTTGGTTTTCTTTTCACGAGGGGACGGTAGTATTGGTTTTCCATCTTTTTATGAGGTTAAACTATGAGTTCTTGTTGATTCATGTTTGGAAAGTTAAAACATAAACCACATCCATACTTTTACTTACTTTTTGTCAATATTATCATGAAAATAGTCAAACAGCAGGTATGTTGGCTGATTTTCTTTTTCCCCCCATTTGTAGGATCGCCATATGAAGGTGGCATATTTTTCCTTGACATTACATTTCCATTGGCTTATCCTTTCAAACCACCCAAGGTATGCAAAATTCTGACTAGCTATAGAGTACATCATAGTCACTCAATTTACATCTAGCATTATCCATGACCATTTAGACTTGAAATAGTTCTTAGATATAATATTCTTCATGCTATTTCATCTTTCATTGCAGTAAACCTGTTTTTCTGAAGCTTGTATCTAGATTTATTGTAATTTAAAATATTCACCTTCTGTTACCATTTTCGCTCGTGTTGTTGGAGTTGTCCATTCTAGCATCTGTAAACACATGCTGGTAGGTGCTTAGCAATGTACATGTATAATTGTTAATTCATGATGTGTAGTCTAGGAGTGTCTGAACAAAAGCTGGGGGATGGCCGTCATTTTTTCGTTGACTGATGTTGGTGATTACACTCTGAACTAAAACTTTCGGAGGCTGCTGCCTTCAAAAATATTTTAATACTGTCATATTCATGTGGCATTAGGTGATGACCAGAAAAAATCCTATCTGATTTTTAATGGCTAAATGGCACACAGGTACCCTATAGTTTCGCTTACTTTGCACTTTTATATCCTCAATTGTTTTTTGTGGCGTCTATATACCTTAAATTTTTTAAAATTGGGATGTTAGTACCCTCTATCATCCAAACATGATAAATCTTCATTAGAATGTTCCCATATAACATTCATATGCTAATTTTATCACTTTGTAACTATTAATGATTTTTGAATACCTATCCAAATTCTATTTTAAAATACAACTGAAATACATTTGAATTAGAGTTTGGGTAGGGTTAACAGTAAATTTAACAAATATTAATGGTTAGAAAGCTCTACAAACATGTGAATGTTATATCACAATGTTCGGGAGAAATTTTTTCATGTTTGCATAATAGACGGTACTAACATGCTAGTTTTAAACAACTTGAGTATATAAATACTGCGAAAAACAACTAAAGGTATGTAAGTCCAAAGTGAGTGAAACTATAAGGCGTTTAAGTGAAATTTAGCCTTTTTAATACCGTAATAGTCATGTGGCAATGGGTTTTAGGTTTGGAGAATCTTCAGTGTAATAGATTGTTATAGACTATTGTTTTGTATTTGCTTATACTTTTTCAACAAAAAATATAACGCAAAATTCTTTTCAATGGTCCAATCATTCAAATGAAGTGAAATGTTCTCACTTCAATAAGTTTCTAAGGAAGAAGTGAAAGAAGAATCCAACTGCTCAAGTACTGATGTCATTAATGAGTGATTCTCAGCCTATCCTCACTATGCTCCACAGTTAAACTACCATCTGTGGTTTTAGTATATGCACTGTATTCATCATCTGTCATGCCACTATTGCTAATGCTGCTGTATCTTTACAATGCTAATAGTTGTTGCACTGCAGGTGATATTTAGAACTCGAATATACCACTGTAATGTTGATTCTTCCGGCGAAGTAAACCTGGACATCTTGAAGGACAGCTGGAGTCCCGCCTTAACAATTTCAAAAGTGTTAATAGCTATCAAAACCATCTTCACCAATCCCGATCCATGTATGTGCACCGCTACCATGTATTTTCATGGAGTTTTTTTTACTGAATTCTCCTTTTGCGAGGTTCATTTCAGGGTTTTTTGTCACTGCTTATTCAGACTCCTGTATGCAGATAACCCACTTGTTTCAAGCATTGCTCGCTTATACCTGACTGATAGAGCTAAGCATGATGAGATAGCTTCAGAGTTCACTATGCGTTTTGCTCGTTGAGCTGTGTGCTGCTAGATTGTCACTCAGGTAGCATTTGGCCCTTCAGCCATTAGAGATTTGTACTATTTTGTGATTAGATGTGGACATCATATATTCATTCTGCATGTAAAACCTTTTCCTGGAGTTGTACCCTTGTTGTAACCATTCATATTTCAGATTTTATGTGAAGATGTACCAATACTGTGCATAGGTCTTTTTTGTGTGTGCAATATAACATTTGTGTACATGAATTTGTCAAATTTCAAATTTAGTGAAAATGTAGCATATGAAGCTATGTGAATTGATCAATCAGAAGGTGCTTTCCTAGATTCATAGCTTTCCTGCACTCACAAGGAAAGCACATTGGAGTTTTGTGGATGTTTTTTCATGTCTGACAGTCTAAACAACGAGCATAGTTGTTGTCTGTATTGATACCTGTTCTCTTTCAACTTGGTATATCTTTAGTTGTCTGTATTGATACCTGTTCTCTTTCAACTTGGTATATTTTCAGATAATTTGTCTTTTTATCTAATTTGTTGCGCGTTACAGGGGTTTGTTCAATACTAATATGTAGGCACCTAGATGTTCATTCATGTTTTTGGTTGATATCATATTGATTAAATTATAAAGACATGAACAAGAAGAAAGTGGAAGGGCCAAAAGGATAGGAAGGCCAAAGAGAAAAGGGTGTGCTACCATCTTCCTCTCCACCCTAAAGAACTTAAGTGCATGAAACTTCTATTTTCTTTTTATCAGTGGGTATCAGGAGTATGTCCATCTACAATCTTCCTTTCTACCCTACTGAACTTAGTACATGAAACTTCTATATTGAATTCTTCATCGACAAGTTTCACTTGTATCTAGAAAATGAGTTGCCATGAAAGTCAAAGCAGCTATCTTTCATCCACTGGCTCTTTAAATCAAGGTCAGTTGTTGAGAACAGAAATGGTATGTACACTTGTATCTAGAATCTCGCGTTCAAGATAAGCTGCAGAAAGACAACACCAGCTTCCTGCTCATTGCTGAAGGAATTATGAAGCGAAGCATTGGACCGTAGAATGCTACCAATACTGAAACCAATCAACATGTCAGTTGCAAGATGAAGGCTACAATCCTAGTCAAGTTTCCGAGGGAGGTGAAAATTGAGGGTCTATGGTCTGTTCACTGTGAATTTTGTGATGCAGGAATGTGAAAGTCTTAAAACCCTTGAGGCTTTTTAGACGTAACGTCTACCATATCAGAATAGTCATCACCAAAATAATTGTCATGAGTTTTTTTTAGATCCATAACTGTCTTCAGACGCAGGTTTATGGGCTTAAAGAAACTGTGAAATATGAAAGATAAGCTGAGGAGTTCACATGGATCACGCTTTTCTTCAAAAGATGTCCAGGAACTATGCTGCTCACATCAAGGTTACTGCTTACCGTATTTGCATTCCAAATGTCTACTCTAGGAGTTGGTTTTATTAAAATTGAAAATCGGCATACATGAGCGTAATAGGGAGTATCATCTGCAAATTATATACTGTTTATTTTTTTTAATAATCATCAGTTCATCACAAGTCAGTGCTTCATCACAAAGTCTCATACATATATGCTTTTTGTTGGAGCATCACTAAACAAAAAACAAATAAAAGAAAGAGGTGATCTTTCAATTAACTTTGCAAATGACATTCCACCGGTTAAGTGACTTGTCTCTCCCTTTTCAGAAGCTGAATTTACACTCAAACCATCAATTTACCCATCTTTCTCTGTGTGTGTGTGTGGGGTGGGGTGGGGTGGGGTGGGGTGTCAAATAAATAAATTCATGGTGCTTGTTTTCTTCTCAGATCACCGTCATGACAAGCAAAACCTGAACTTAAGCATCCCGATCCGAGCATGTACAAAAGGACAAGGAAGCCTCAACTGGCTACAAAAGTCTCTGAATCGAGATGATGAGCTGCCCAAGGAAAGCAACCGCATCAATAACTCATTACTTAGCTCTCTGAATCAAGAAGACGAGCTTCTCAAGGAAAAAGAACAGCTTCCATCAACTGTGAAATCAGCCATTTGATCAAGTAGCTCCAAAACACGAATACCTCTATCTTCTGGCAACAACCCACGGTGAAATCAGCGTTACACAAGTCACAGGAAAGTAGTTCATCTTGAAAACTGAGAAAAAAGTCTTGTTCGAGTTCGGGTGAATGCCCAAAATTACATGCTGGGGAAATCTATGGGATTGCAACTCTCTGGCTATTGTTTGGAGGTTGAAAGTGTGCTCCAATGTCCGTTTGTTTCTTTTATAATCTTTCATGACAAACACATGAATATAGAAGTCAAGTCCTTTTTCATTGCATAATGCATCTTACCACTCGATGGCGAAGAAAACACGAGGATGATGTTTTCCCTCCAAACTGAAGAAGATGGCAATTTTACGCTTTCGTCCCTCTCTATTTCCATTTTTAGATCGGCGGATGGTTTTGTTTTGCTGTGTATCTGATCCATTGCTCGGTAGATTTGTGGGTGGCGATGGATCTACGTTTTGTTCTTTTTAGGGTTTTGATTTGTGTAGTGGGTTGATTAGGATCAATTGAAGATTTTGGGAGTTTATGTTTTGCACTAGGTTAAGGGGTAAATGGGGAGGTTTTGTTTATGGATTCGGATCCTCTCCACTATCTAAAAAGTAGTGGAGGGACCACTACATAATCACAACCATTGATTATCTAGTTAGTGGTTGTGAATTTTTCTTTGAGTGCAAATTAGGAATGAGTGTAATACACGGGGTATGGTGAGTGTTAGATTTAGATTGTATCATAACTGCCTACTAAATAATCAACGATTGAGATTAAAAGTAGTGGTCTCTCCACTAATTTCTTGTAGTGGAGAGGAAGCAGATTCTTTGTTTATAGATGATATTTGGTTTTGGGGGAATTTTTATGATTGATCTGTGGCTTTGAAATGTGAGCATGAATTTATATGTGTAGCATTAATAGCTGGAGTAATAAGTTTTGCAGTGAACTGAAATACAGGGAGTTGTAAAAAATGGTCAAGTTACTGATGTTCCTAATTGCTTCTCATAATATTACATTTCCTTTTCAATGCTTACCAAATCCCAATTCTGCTTTCTAACAGAAGAGGGATTTCTTGATTTCCTTTTTATCAAATAGATGTTTACTCTTCATTCGGAAAAATCGGTAGTTACAGCCAGTGGATTATGTGCAATACACAATTTACTATTACTTACTGGTTGTTTCTTATCATTGTTGCCTCTACAATAGTCTCCTTGTGTTAAAAATGGAGGTGGGCTAAAGGAAAATATAATCTGTGATCTATTCGCTGTCTATCCCCATAGCGGAGTAGCATTATTTTAGCAGTAGCATTATTTTAGCAGTATAGTTCTGCGAGTAAATTATGATTTTTCACTTTTGAATATGTTGCTTAGAGAGATGGCCTAAGAAATATTGGTTTTTTTATTCTTTTATTTTATTTCTTATTGCCATAGATGGGTGGAGTAACACCTAAAAAAAGGTGGAACTGGGCACCCGAGACTTCCAGTGTTGAAGTTGCAGAACCAAAGAAAGAAACCAAAGCCAATGCATCAGTTATTTATTCATTATACTTAGGATTCATAGTTATGCGAAGGACGATTTTTTGCCCAGATATGGTACTTCCCAATTTGCGCAATTCTATGGCCATCAGAACTCAGTTAAGCCTTTAAGGACATTTGTCAATTGTTAGAATTTCAAATTTATTCTCCTGGAATTTGGTTGAAGCAAGTCGACATTTGTATGTTTACCTTACGTGACTTATGAGCTATTTAGCATTCTTCCTTCACATATAGTACAAATACAACATTACGTTCATGTTCATTTTAGCCAATTTGTGTTCCTACAGTTTAACGGCATGTCATTTGCAGATAAACAATTAGACTTTCCTTATCATGACTAGCCATTAAATGATATTATTGTTATTAGAACTTTGTTCAGGGAGAACATTGTTCGTGTAATATCTCTTGTTTGATCAATAACACGCTCTCATTTGGTACTAATAAGTTTATGAGATGACATATTTCAGGAGTAAACAGGTGAGAAAAAGTTTCGGCTTAAAACAATGCAAAAAGCAACAGGAACAATTGATTTTAGCCATTAACCATCGATGGTCACGAGGCAACCATCAATGCTCCATAGATCATCAATGGACTACATAGATCATCAATGGACTACAGTCAACAATCTGTATTTTTAGAAAAGAGAAATCAAACTATCAATGGATTATAGTCAATCATTGATGATCCATTCAACCGTCGATGGACTACAGTCAACAATTTGTAGATTCCAGAAATAAAAAATTGAACAATCGATGGATTAAAGGGAACCATCAATGATCGACATTAACCATCGATGATCGCATTTAACCATCAATACTTTGGACGCGTTTTGACAGATTTTCAAATTCAATCTCAGCCGTTTGATCATAGCTTTGAACTTCTATTTCAACACTGATTAGAAGACTTCTTTTCAAGGCAATCAAGATCTATTTAAGGAGGGATTGGAGAAGAGATTAACAACAAGAAATAGAGATGATATTTTCTTAAGTTTGAGAGATCAAATTTTAGGGTTTGTGAGAGATTGAGAGTTAGAATTTGATTCTTGAGCCTCGTTCAACTTCTCCTCATCGCACTCAACATCAAGAGATCGAGAGATCGTTTCAGCTAGGAGGAGTGTCCTTTCCGTTCATCTACAAATCGCTTCTTCATGAATCTTCAACATCATCGTTTTGGAGAGCGATTTATTTAAAGGCCGTAAGATCTTTTCAATTGTGCTTTAATTATTTTTAGGATTAGTTTTGTATTTCAAACTTGCGAGTTTGAAGGCATACTCAAGTTTGGTTGAGGGTTGGCATGCTCAAGCTAGGGTAATTAAGTGTGATGGCTAGGCCTAGATTTCTTCTGGTCATTTTGAGGAGTTGGGTATCTCGACTGACTTCGGGTAGATTCTAGGTCTTGTTTGTAAAGCTTACTGAATTAGGTTGTGATTCATGGATATAATGAAGAAGTCTCTTCGCGAGAAGAAGGTTCGCGAGAAGAAGGATTGGACATAGGATTTTGATCTGAACCACTATAAAAATCTCGTGTGTTCCTATGTTGGTTGCTCTTATTTTTTTATTTTTTATTTTCTATTTTCTATTTTCCGCTACATATTCTTTGTTTATTCGGAAATTTTATAGCAATTTTATTCACTCCCCCTCTAGGCTTGCATCCCGTTTCC